ATCAACAACTTCATTATCATCATCTACTTAGTGATTCAAGGTTTCAATTAAGTAAAAGGGGAAGAGAAAAAAAAAACATAAAAATTATAGTCTAAGAAAACCTCACTATTTTTAGTCAAAGAAATTAGTTTAATCAAAGTAGTAATAATTTAAAATTATAACCAAACATAATTAATCAACATTGTTAAACAGGAAAGCAACCCAAGAGGGGGGTGAATTGGGTTAATTAAAATATTTGGCCAGAAAAAGATTTCAAAAAGACTAAAGTGATTAAATGCAGCAGACAATCAATAAATGCACAAAAATTAAAAGGAAAGGAAAGAAGAGCTCAACACAAGGATTTATAGTGGTTCGGCTTACTGGCCTACGTCCACTCCTCAAGAGACCTCCTTAAGAATTTATTCACTAAGAATCAATGCACCACCAAACTTCACCTAGCATGTGGATTTTTACAAAGGACTGACTTCAATTTGTTGAGGACCACTCAACTAAATGCCTCACTTTACAAGTGTTTCACTCAGAAAATAAAGAACAAGAGAAAGAGGTTCAATTGTCCTCTTTTAAAAATATTCTCTCTCAAAAGATGGATATGAAAGTGTAAGCTCACAGGTAATTTAAGACTCACTAGGATGTGAAAATGGAATTACAATGGAGCATATTAAAAGCTCTTGATTGCTCTTTAATGCTTTGGGTTTCTTTATATTGAAGAAGTGTAGATCAAATAAGAAGAACTTTATCTTTATAGCATTAACGGTTTCTAGTTGTTGGAGAGAGGAGATTTGAATCTCCTAGCCGTTGGAGGAAATCTTTCAGCTGTGTTTGGAGTATATTAAAAGCTCTTGATTGCTCTTTAATGCTTTGGGTTTCTTTGTATTGAAGAAGTGTAGATCAAATAAGAAGAACTTTATCTTTATAGCATTAACGGCTTCTAGTTGTTGGAGAGAGAAGATTTGAATCTCCTAGCCGTTGGAGGAAATCTTTCAGCTGTGTTTGATCGGAGTATGGAGAAGGCAGACTGTATATAGGTATTGGGAAGAGAATGATCATTAAATGCACAAGGTTTTCATTTAATGCTCTCTTTCATAGGTCAACTTGTTGGAGAGGATATGGTGCCAGAAGATCTGCTCAAAGGTAAAAAAAGATGACATATTCTACACATAACTCTGAAAAAGTGGCTGAGAAAAGGGCTATGTCAGTCCAAATCTGATTTGGGGGGTGAGATTTTTTAAACCCAGATTTACAGGTGTCGACCCCTGTAGATTGGGTGTCAACCCTTCGCTTTCTTCTCTTCTCTAAGTTGAGTTCTAGGTGTTCCTGGTGTCGACCCTTATCATTCTTGGTGTCGACCTTTACTACTGGATTGCATTATGAAATTTAGTGTCGACCTTTGTTGTTCTTGGTGTCGAACCCTGCTACTGGATTGCATTCTGAAATTTAGTGTCGACCCTTGCTGTCCTTGGTGTCGACCCTTGCTTCTAGGTTGCACTTTGAAATTTAGTGTCGACCTTTGTTGTCCTTGGTGTCGACCCTTACTTCTGGGTTACATGCTGAAATTTATTGTCAACCCTTACTGTCTTGGTGTCGACCATTGCTTCTGGAACACTTAGACATTTTGAGCATCACTCTGGTGTCAACCCTTGCTATTTTGGTATCGACCCTTAGACCTGTTTCAAGCATAAATAGAATTTTGCAAACAAGTGCTAATCTCAAGTTTTGAGACGTTACAAATCATTGAAAAACAACACTCTAGAAGCATATATCTTCTAGAACTATTGAAGCACAATTTGTATAATATTATTTTGGAAAACTTTGGTTAACAAAATGAGTTCAAAATATTTGTTAATAATCAAAATCAATAAGAATTTAAATTTGAATAACCTTGGGACTAACAATCTCCCCCTTTTTATGATGACAAATATTTAAAGTTTTCAAAGTATGCGTTTCAAAGTGAAGGCATTAAGAAGTGTTTAGGAGTTTTGTAAATAAAGGATTTGAAAGAAGAGATCGAAAACTCCCCCTATAAAAAGGGATTTAAGGCCATAGCAAGGATAACTCAAAATATAATGAGAAATAAGTAAATCAAGGAGATTTTCAATAAATACATCAATAGAGTAAGCTCCCCCTGTCAATATGCATTGAACCATTCATTAGTAAAGCTAAATCCTTCAGTTTATTTACATTGAATGAAATCACAAGCATTGAATGAAATCACAAAACAAATAATGATCCAAGTGTAAGAAACGTTGACAACACATCTCAAGCATTCATAACCAATTGCAAATAGCAGCATGTTTTCATACCAAAAGAGATTAGCACAAAGTGTCTATGTTCCCAAAAATATCCATATACATCATCAATTTCTTTAACTTGTGTTACCCAAATTTTGTACCCAAAAATATGTGGGCATCCATATATATCTATTGTTTTTAACAGTTAAATCCAAATACTTAATAACAACTAACATCCACGGACTACAATTAGAAGGCATCCATATATATCTATTGTTTTTAACAGTTAAATCCAACGACTTAATAACAACTAACATCCACAGACTACAGTGAGAATAACTACAACATCTATGACTTCTCCCCCTTTGTCATTATCAAAAAGTGGGAACATAGCATCAGCGAAACGGAGGAGGAGATCGAGGCCAATGTGGTGCAACTTTGCGCCAACCTTGGGCAAAGCACAGTATGAACTTTCAGATTTGTTCACCCGAATCATCGTCCCAGCGCTATTGGAAGATTTGTCAGAATTCTTCGTTGGAGTTCTTGCTCCCGTAGACTGCAATCACCATACTTTCTACATTTTCTTTAGCAACTGCAATGACTCGGGCTTGCTGCAATTTCATGCGATCAATGTCATTTTGCATTTCAGTCTGTTGAGAGATAAGTTGGAGAACCAAGGAGGCCAACTTATCCACCTTTTGTTCCAAAGCAGAGGAGGATGAAGTAGGGATAGAGTGAGAGGATGATGGAATGTCTGAGGCAAGGATGGATTGGGAGTCTTGGTTTAGATTGTTAAGCCTAGAATTGATTGAAGCAATCCCATTCAACAGGGGAGCTTGAACCATAAAATCAAGATGTTCGATTTTTTGAGAGCGTGAAGAAAGGTCAAAAGGAGGTGGTGGAGTAGAAGGACCATGGGTTGAGAAAGGAAGGGTAGGACTGGGAAAGGAAGAGCCAGGGGTAGAGAGACCAGGAGAAGAACCAGTTTTCTTGGTCTTGGTCCAGATTTTGTTGATCAGAGAGTATCCCATATTTCTTAGAGTTTCAACTCCATAACAAGAGGATTCTCAAGGGACTTTTTCTTCTCCCTTTAGATCAATTTTGAAGTGTTTGGAAATTTTTGCAAAAATCATGCTGTAGGGAAGGGTTTGATTATTTTATTTATGGGCATTTTTGATACAGTGGACAACCAAAAAATCGAAATCAGAAAGAAAACCAATAGATAGGGCCCAAATGACGTAAGTATGGCCATATGTGACCGCATCAAAGAGGCCAGAGCGTGGAATAATGTTGTGAGTAATGATGTGACGTAACAGCCTCATTTCAAGGGAAAGGTCTTTCCCGGAGACAATGATATGATCAGTTAAATCAGGGTTATTGGTGAGAAATCGAAGACCAAGAAGATGAGTGTATTGGGTTGGATTAAGAGTGACTGATGGATTGACTCTGCGTCCATTGGAGGTTTTTGTAACGCCCTCAAAATAATAACAATAAACCCATCAGATAAGACATGCATTTACATTTAAACTAACCGCATTCCTTTCATTCATTAGAATTTCAGGAAATAAGTATTACATGTTAACCTCATAACAAAATGCCCTACGGGCTTACAGCTTTCCAAGTTAACACTTGGTTACAACAAAGAGTTCTAACTCGTTTACACATTAAGCCCTTGGCTTAAAATTACATGTAATACATCAACAAAACGGAGGAGGAGATCGAGGCCAATGTGGTGCAACTTTGCGCCAACCTTGGGCAAAGCACAGTATGAACTTTCAGATTTGTTCACCCAAATCATCGTCCCAGCGCTGTTGGAAGATTTGTCAGAATTCTTCGTTGGAGTTCTTATTCCCGTAGACTGCAATCACCATACTTTCTACATTTTCTTTAGCAACTGCAATGACTTGGGCATGCTGCAATTTCATGCGATCAATGTCATTTTGCATTTCAGTCTGTTGAGAGATAAGTTGGAGAACCAAGGAGGCCAACTCATCTACCTTTTGTTCCAAAGCAGAGGATGATGAAGTAGGGATAGAGTGAGAGGATGATGGAATGTCTGAGGCAGGGATGGATTGGGAGTCTTGGTTTAGATTGTTAAGCCTAGAATTGATTGAAGCAATCCCATTCAACAGGGGAGCTTGAACCATAAAATCAAGATGTTCGATTTTTTGAGAGCGTGAAGAAAGTTCAAAAGGAGGTGGTGGAGTAGAAGGACCATGGGTTGAGAAAGGAAGGGCAGGACTGGGAAAGGAAGAGCCAGGGGTAGAGAGACCAGGAGAAGAACTAGTTTTCTTGGTCTTGGTCCAGATATTGTTGATCAGAGAGTATCCCATATTTCTTAGAGTTTCAACTCCATAACAAGAGGATTCTCAAGGGACTTTTTCTTCTCCCCTTAGATCAATTTTGAAGTGTTTGGAAATTTTTGTGAAAATCATGCTATAGGGAAGGGTTTGATTATTTTATTTATGGGCATTTTTGATACAGTGGACAACCAAAAAATCGAAATCAGTAAGAAAACCAATAGATAGGGCCCAAATGACGTAAGTATGGCCATATGTGACAGTATCAAAGAGGCCAGAGCGTGGAATAATGTTGTGAGTAATGATGTGACGTAACAGCCTCATTTCAAGGGAAAGGTTTTTCCTGGAGACAATGATATGATCAGTTAAATCAGGGTTATTTGTGAGAAATCGAAGACCAAGAAGATGAGTGTATTGGGATGGCTTAAGAGTGACTGATGGATTGACTCTGCGTCCATTGGAGGTTTTCAAAATGGAGTTCATGACAGAGGGTGTCAAAGTGAAAGAGACACCCTTAACAAAGCAGTCAAGGGTATGATGAGAAGTGTCCTCATCATAGGAGAGATTTGCAAAAAACTCTTTGATGAGTGTGGGGTAAATGTCATAGTTGTGTTTCAAAAGAGATGACCACTTTTGGTTATCAAACCAGTGGGGTTTTTTTGGTAGTGCTAGTTAAGCCTACTTGGAGACACCAACCTAGGGATTACCTGAGTCGTATCTACCGCCCCATTGAATAAAATTGTAAATTTCAGAATTTGTTGAGATTTCAAGCTTTTGTTGAACATAATGTGTGAGGCCCCTGAAAATTTTAATTTCTTAAAAGTCCTTTACTTTTAAATTATTTCCTTAAAGTCCCTCAGATTCTTAATTGCAACCCTAGGATCAAAATACATGCGCCAACAAAAAACTGCAAACCCTAATCGATTTCGGAAACTTAGAAATAATTTCTAATACTCTAATTGACTCCTTAAATATGAAATTACTACTTGGAAACCCTAGGCTTTTCCGGTCTTTATCACGTTCGTCGATTGATCGCGTTTTTGTTCGAAACAAGAAATCCAAACCGAATTAGATTCCCTAACCCCAATTTAATTTAATTCTACACTAAAATAAATGTTCCAATTCATAAATTAAACCCAATGCCCTCATATTTTTCTTAAATCACATTTTGACCCCAAACTAGTACAATTACACACATATATACATATATACTTGTACCTTTCTTAAAAAAATAATTTTATACACAAATATCTCCATATCTATATATAAAATCAACAAAAATCTCCCAAAATCTAGCACATGGCCAGCCATCACCCTCTCTAGGCTACAATCATAGGTACTTTAGAGACAAATCCCTTAAATCATGGAAAAAGTATCATTGGTACCCCCAAATCAAGGAAAGTTGTCTTGTACTTGTAACTATCTTTGTTCTACTTAAGCCTAACCCTAACTAGATCATGCCTTAATACATGATTAGGCTCCCTAATGATCCTTCATTCCATTACATTCCAACTAATACATCTCAATTCCATTCCATTCCAACTAATGGGCATTTTGGACCTTTTACACCAATTTTATTTTAAAAACACCACCACCCTCCACATGTTACACATCTCATACACTCACATATCTACACATTCAGTTGAGAGAAAGAAAGAAGAGGAAGAGAGTGAACTTTGGTAGTAGTGGAGAGGAAAAGAGGAGACAATTGTGCAAACACTTCACTAGGCAATCAAGTAAGCCACAACACAACTCTCTCTTTCATTTTCGTTTTTAAAATACATGTTATTAGAAGTTTAAAATGGTATTTTCAGATGTTTTCTAATGGTATTCTTAAAAGGAGTTGAGCCTTGATTCTACCCTCCTTGTATTTCTCTTAATCGGTATAAGACAACCTTTTTCCATATCAAACTCTCAAAATTTCCAGAGGCACACCTTCAGCTTAAATTTATAAGTTTAATACATATTATTTAGCAAGTTTTCATCACAAGATAAGTGAAAAATTTTCCCTAGTTGGCCTATTTTCTCACCAACTTTCTTGTTGCAAGAACTGTGCCAGAAAAATCTGTTTTACAGCCAACTTTCAAAAATTCTAGAAAATGTAGAAATATCTTCTGGACTCAATTTTATGTCCAATTCTTCCTTAAGGAGTTAGATTTCAAGGAAAATTGGTTTCATTGAAAACGAGTGAGCAATTTGTAAGAAAATCCAATTTTCATAACGATTGACGAATCTGGACAACACTGGAGCATTTCTTAAATAACTAAAAATTTAGAAAAGCTATCACATTTCCAAAACATGTTCTGAAAACTAGATTAAATTCTCTACGAACCATAGGAAGGGTAGGTTCGGGAAAGATCTGAAATAGCCCTTTTGATTTTAATCTTTAAACGGTATTGAATCTGGAAATTTAGTTTTGCATGGGTGTTTTATACTCTTGTGTTCATGAATATGCTTATTAGTACGTGACCATGTCTTGGTATGATATTGCATGTGTTATGGTTATGTTCCTTATCTTTTTTAGTTGATGATGTTCATGCTTATGTGGATATTACTACCTTGTTAAGTTGGTCTAACTTTAATTTAAAACATTTAACTCAACGGGAAACTAAATTGGGATGGTATTGGGTTTTCGATCACTTGAATATTGAAGAGATGATAATGTGTTAAGTATGGATTGATGGGATGTGCTCCCTAATTGAAGGTTAAGTCTTGTGCAAGCTGTTGTCGCGTAAACCCTAGAATGGAATGGACGTATTCGGACTCTTTACGATGGTTTGGTTGGCGAGATAAGGTCGAGTCCAGATGGGACAATCAGGAGGATAAAACTTTTTTGGAAGAACAAGGTTGGATTCTGGGTGATAAGACCTTTTCCTTTTCACTGTCCCTTTTGACGCCCTGCGGTTGGCGCTACGCGGTATATAACCGTTGGTAGGCATCCGAGGTTAGTTCTGCAATAAAGCAGCAAAAAGGGGAGTTCCGAATAGTCCGGTGTCCAACTCTTGTGGTTGGGAGGATGAAATCTCTTTGGGAAATTTCTAGATTACTAATATCTAACCTTGTAATCCTTTATTATTGAATGATTATCATGCTTCATTTCTTGCTTGTTATAATTGTGATGGTGTATTGGATTGGGAAAAATGGAGGGGGTGTGTGTGCGTTTGCTGGGCATTCAAAGCTCATGGCGTTTCATGCCAGGTATCGAAGACTATTAGACCAGTCGAAGGCAAAGCTGAATTATTTGAAGACGTATGTCTATCCTATGAGAGTTAGGAACTAGTTATGTTAAACGTGTTTTGAGATTGTGAGTGATAGATCCCATGTTGTATTTAAGACTTGATTTTGTAATTATTATATATCTATACAATCTTTTATATTACCTATTCTTTTTCTTTTTTTTTTATCGTCGATTCATGTAGGCCTTGTGTTAATATCTTTTTAAGATCTGTCAAAAAGATAACTTTGCTATCTAAGGTGGTTAGACTTTGAGGCCATATTGACTCCTCTAACCTTTCTGGGATTTTACTTAGTTATTAATCAAAGGACTCATTAGTAATGTTTCCTATTTTGTAATCTTAGATAAACCCTGTATTTATTTGTTAATATATTCTCTGATATTCTCGATTTTTGGGGTGTCACAATAAGCGGAGGGGAAGTAAAGATCAACATTTCTATCAATTGAACCTCATCATCTTCGAAGTTTTCTACTTGTCATCTCTAGCTCTTATTTTCGAGGTAGGGCACTCTTAACCTAGTATATCTATAATTTGAGGTGTATGTATGATATTTTCTTAATTATATGCATATATAAGATGGTTGTGTTGTATTATATGGTTTTGATGCATTAAAAAGGGGGTTTTACCCAAATTCTTGAGAGATTTGAAATAACTCTTGAGGATAATATTTGTTGATGATGGCTAATTACTTTAGAAAAATAAATGAGAGAAAAGCCCTAATTTTGCCTTTAAAATATTATCCTAAAAATGAAATTATATTCAATTGGTCTTTAAATCAAGAAATTGAAATGATGTTTAGTAGAAATGGGCACAAATGTTGATTGTGAGTTATTTTTAGTAATCTATGATATGATGGAGGCAACTGAATATTGTTGAAATGTGGATATCCCTTTTGATTTTGGATATGATGACCATTATTTCTTAAATGAATAAATTCTAGGTAAATGGAATTATTTTCAAATTCAGGCGTCATGTGGCATTTCAATGATTTTGTTTTATGATTCTTCTAATTCTTTGGATGCTTGGAAATGTTGAAAGAGGGTAAATAGCATATGAGTCTAGGTAGTTGTGTCAGGTTTTGGGAAACAAGATGTGTATTGTATTGGTGAGAATACATGTTGCTCTGAGTGGAACACCGCCATGGAAAAGCTTACCGGGTGGACCAGAGGGGACATCATTGGGAAGATGTTGGTTGGAGAGATTTTTGGCAGTTGCTGTCGGCTCAAGGGCCCAGATGCTAAGACAAAATTCATGATCGTGTTGCACAATGCGATCGGAGGGCAGGAAACAGACAAGTTCCCATTTGCCTTTTTTGACCGGAATGGAAAATATGTGCAAGCTCTCTTAACGGCAAACAAAAGGGTTAATATGAATGGCCAGATTATTGGAGCCTTTTGTTTCCTCCAAATTCCAAGTCCTGAATTGCAGCAAGCTCTGAAAGTCCAGAGACAACAGGAAAAGAAATGCTTTGTGAGGATGAAAGAGTTGGCTTACATTTGCCAGGAAATAAAGAATCCGTTAAGTGGTATACGCTTTACTAATTTGCTTTTGGAGGCTACAGACTTGAACGATAATCAGAAGCAGTTTCTTGAGACAAGTGCTGCTTGTGAGAAGCAGATGTTGAAGATTATAAGGGATGTTGATCTGGAGATCATTGACGGCGGGTGAGTTTCCCTGAAATTTATATATATGGCTCATTTCTTTGTATTGGATTAGAAAATTTTTAAATTTCTTTACTCACAATTGTGTGATGCCTCTTAGAATCCCAACGTACTATCTCTTCTTGTGGTTTTAAATTTTTAATCAATAGGTTGTATTTCTTTTTTCTTTTTCTTTTTTTGTTGCATTTTACAATGTGCTTTTGGACTGCCACCAACCCAAAGCTGTTCTTCCAAAATATGATATGAACTTGTTGTGTTGTTCAATGAGTCCTTGTTTTGATCTATAAGAGAACTAAATTCCTCGTATGGATAAAATTTTGTCATTGTCTATTCGATTTCTTGCATTGTTCTCTTGAGTGTTCAATTATTTACACAATGGTTTAGATCTTATGGATATAATTATCTTGTTCAACTGTCATGAATTATTTTGCTAATGGCAAAGTCACAGTCTAATTTTGTAACTGTCTTCTGGTTGTAGTTCGTTGGAGCTTGAGAAGGCTGAATTCTTAGTTGGGAGTGTGATAGACGCTGTTGTTTCTTAATGCATCAAAGAGTAAACCAATGTTCGCTATCGTCTACCAGAAATTATGATACACTGGGAATGCAATAAGATCTTAATAGCAGATTTTTCTCTAATAGAATCTACTCAACCAAAGATCGGCATCCAGAATATATATAATTCAATAAATAAACAAGTTAAACTAGAAGGGTCAATTTAAAAGCAGATGTTGTAACTACAATAAAGGAAAAATAAACAAGACAGAAGATTAGACTCACCAACATGTTTTCAGATGTTGGTGTGAGGAAAGAAATCTTCGCTGAATTAGAACCTTCCAACCCAAAAATCAGACCATCATACCAACGTCCATCGGTGTGGCGGATTCTACACTTAGATCCAACAGAATAACTTAGATCCGCCAGTGGTTCTGCTTCAACTTGTGTTGGATCAAGGGGCTCCACTTTGACATCATCAGCGACATACTTGGAACTATCTAGAACCGAATCCACCTCTTGCAGCAACCTTGCACGTTTCAACTGAAGGAGCCATTGCTCTGCATCTTTGATAGCCTGAACAAGCTCCTCATAAACCCAAAACAACAAAACATTTAACATTAACAACTCCAAGGAACCATATATATGTCAAAAGAAATCCCTCCACGTGATTCTGTACAATCTTATGGTAATTAGTATAATGATTTACTAATAAATAAACAAATAAAACAATCTTGAAAAAATGCTAGCTTTTTCTACATTAAGTACAATTATATCAAACAAGATCAGGAGCAGCATCAAAGATAATCGTGTAGCTTCATTTTCCACCTTACTTCGGAATATGACATGTCGTTATCTATAAATTAAGCAGGCATGGAGATAGAAAATTAAGTATTCTATGGACTGAAACAAGATAGATTTTCCTTAGGCCATTTTACATACGTAAAATCAAGTATGACATGTTATTTGAAACTGTAGATATAAATGAAAAAATAGTCCGCTCTACCTCAACCAAAAAAAAAAAAAAAAAGCAGCAGCACTCTAGCCAGAGATTCAATGGCACTATAGCAGCAATCTTATATCTTCATTTCTAAAGCACTGTCTCTGCCCTTATTTCATATGCTTCCCCAAGGTAAGCTAGAGCAGACAAGGAATAGCACAACAGATTAACAAAAAAGAGAGCATATAGGGATGTTTTGATCAATCACATGTCACATTGTATAAACAAGTACACAAACCAACAAACAAACAAACACACATAATGAGAGAGAGAGTATGCAGGGCACATTCCTCCCATTAGATAACCACTTTATATAGGCAAATATTATTTACCATGAACTTTCTTTTCATCATTAAAACAGAGAGTTGTTAGGGCTTGTTGGTTATCATTTTCTATTTTCTATTTCCAATTTTTTGAAATACATAAAATTTGTTTGGCAAACTGTTTTTTAAACTCCAAAAAAATTGTTTTCAAATTCTTGAATAATGTTTCTGCACAAAATGAAAATGATATTAAAAAAGAATGGATGCTTTCAAACTTTTCATTGTTTTTGTTTCCAAAAACATGAAGAACAAAAATGAACAAAATGAAAACACAACCAAACAAGCCTTGAATTTTACTGTAGAAATGTCCCATCGCTCATTAATTTAAGATACAATCCCCAAAGCAAGGTTTGACCACCAAAAAATAAATTAAAGTTCCCATTAGTTATTTACCAACTATAAATTAAAAGTTCCCATTAGCTATTTACCAACTATAAATTCCAAGGTTACTGCCAACTAATAGCTCTAGTGGCATTCCCTGTTCCCAGTTTGAAAAGATGCACAACTCCCGTAAGTCTGCTTGTACGGACAGGGTGAAGGGGAGGTTAGCCTATGAGCTAGGCTACGGAAAAAACCAATCATCAAACTAATTTACAGAAAGGTTTAATTGGAATCAACCACTAACAATAGCACATCCACATTGATGTCACTACCCAAATCAACCACTATAATTTAATAACTTTTAACCAATGAAATACAAGAGGATATGATATCATATGAATATGTCAACTGGACAAATTCTAAAAAAAGTAAGATCAGATATATTAAAATAGGGCAATATGTGTGTGTGAGTGGATACCATATATACAGCAAGTAATATTAAAATTATATGTGTGAACAAGAACTTGACCAAATTTGACATGCTTTAATCTTTCATTACTATTTTCCAATTCTTCTCCCAAGGTGTATGCGAAATTATTTTCACATTTATCCTACCTACTAGTTGTAGTATATGCAAATGTCACATCTCAATTCCAAGATAGGTTAGATACATGATCTAGAGCATCGAAAAGTATTTGACCGTCCTTCAAAATTGAAGAAAATAATTTCGAATTATCAAAATAAAACATTTAGAGAGTATAAAACACGTCTCTACAAGTACTCGCAGACTGCCAAATCCTTCCTAAGAGTATAGATCACCATTTTTATGCACACAAGTGTTTAATTTTAAACAAGTCCCAACACTTCTCAACTAAAACCTGAATCTTGAATATTGAAATGTTGCATTACTAGAATAGCAGCGAAGTATAATTACTAAAATGATTCAGAAAATCATAACAAAAAATCAAATGCTATACTTACTACTTCAGAGCTGAGTGGTGAATAGCTTCGGTGTTGTATAGTTCTAAACGAAGAACTATTGAGGGTTTGAATCATTCTTCTTTTTGCCAATTGGTGTCGTTTCTTTATTGGTTTCTCCAAGCATAATTTTTTAATGATGTGTAAAAATTTAGAATATTTAAGATTCATAAAAACAGATTGTTCTTCAAAATAATAATAAAAAAAAATACATTCTGACTTTATATGCCCAGAAATATATAAATACGTGTGTAAAACCATGCCATTGGTGTATTCCTATCCTCTTTTTAAAAAAAAATTTAGTCGTACCATGTGACATCTATCCCATGCCATGTTTCCATAGCTAAGGCATCAAACTAAGTTACTATAGCTCAAGGATCCTAAGCTAAATTACTATAGCTCAAGGATCCTAAATTGACTAAGGAGAGTGGCACTTCTGCTAGGTTCTCATCCTTCATCTGTTCTTAAAAAAAACCCAAAAATTGTTATAAAATAATATCCTATATAAAAATCATAATTAATTAAAAAATCACTATCGCACTTGATGCACACAATGTTCAATTACAATTTGCAAGAAAAGGTACAACCTTAAATAAATTTAAAGAACAATTTTTCCCAACAGATAGGGGTGAAAGAATAACCGGAAGGACCGACCAAACCGACTGAACCGACCGAACCGAACGGTTTTTGGTCGGTGTTTTAAGTTTTTAATCGTTCGGTTCGGTTCGGTTTATGTTTTTCTGTACATTCGGTTCGGTTTACAATTTTTGATTTTTTGAACTGAACCGCACCGCACCGAACCGAACCGACTTGTATAATATTAATAGGCCCAAAATGTGAGGCCCCAAACCTATGTAGGAATTACATGGCCTGAGCCCAAATTTTATGCAGAATGGATAGAAATATAGGCCCAAAATGTGAGGCCCAACTAGGAAAAAAAAAGGCCAAAAAATCGAAAAACCGAAAAAACCGCACCGCACCGTAATAAACCGAACCGCGCTGGTTTATGTCATTTTTCTGGGCGGTTCAGTTCACAAATATGAAAAATCGAAATGATTGGTTCGGTGCAAAACTAGTGAAAAAACCGACCGAACCGAACCGATTTCACCCCTACCAACAAAATAGTCAATACTTACTGAGCTCAAAAGACGCTAAATGAGTAAGGGCATTAAAAAAACTCAAAGGCAAAAAAGTATTAGAAAGATAGAAGATTTGCTTCACTTAATTATTTTTGGGAGAGGGTGGGGGTGATAGCTAAGCACACAATGCAAATAGAGTACATAGGCAACAAACCAAAACCAAGCCTGAAGTCCCATCAAATGGGCCGGCTACATATGCAATAATCCAACTAATTTATGATTGGTCTCTTATCCCCCAATGCTAAAAATTATGGTTGCTCTCTTGAAATTTGAGACATACAGGAAAATGAGTGATAAAAAAATAGATGAAGACCAAACTTATCCCACCACCATGTAGTGAAAAAAATGGAATAACTCATTACACATTTTATTGTGTATATTTTTAGCATAAGGAAGCCAAAAAGAAAAAGAGAGTATGTAAGTCTATACTAAATTATTGTAACTCTTAATCTATGTTACATGGAGTTCCCAAAACAACTCAAATAGCAATGTCAGACGCCCGACTCCTGACACTTAGACAACAGTGTGGATATGTGTAAGGATGGAACATGTCTAGATTATATAGGTTTGTCGTCAAAAATCAATAGTTACCCATGTGAAGAAAATCATTTAGAGTGAACATTTGAAAAATAAAAGTCTAGTATTAGCATCTCCTATTTCTAAACTCAGTATCCACATATCTGTTTACCTGCTCAATAGCAGCAACCACATCAGCAACATACCCTCCAAAAAGCCTGTATAGTGCCTTGTACACAACAACTCTAAACACATGAACAAAAGGATTTGCTATTAAAACTAGCATTGGGGAAAAGGGTAATGAAAAGTTAGTATCAGATCTTTATCCTCACCTGGCACGGGGAGCCATTCCACTCGCTTTCCCAAATTCATATCCATGCACTCTAACAGGAATCCCATTATTACCAGCAGTAATAGCTGTTGTATGACTGTTAAGCAATGTTATCAAAGAAAAAATGGATCAGAATACAGTAAAACAAAGAGAATCATAGTTGAAAAGAAAACTTAACTACCAGTTGCGTAAAATGCAGCACCAAAAATTAGGATAGTTAGCTTCGTGTCAAGTAGTACCATAAGCATGCAAGACGTATTTACTACCAATCAAATGTCCTGATTTCTCATACCTGCAAATATTTGCAATACAACACCAAACTCAAAAATTAGGTTGCGAATAGTTATACACACTTCATCAAATATATACATTATTGCATAAACAAAAAAACACAAAAATATATATTTAAAGGAGAGGGAGGGATAAAAGTTTTCCTATCTAC